GGTATTTTATATTGGGTTATCTTCAAGTCTACTGCCTCTGTTATCATCACTATGCTTTTGATCCTATGCAGTGATTTTTAATTTTAGATATGTATTTTAAGTTTCTCCATTTCTATAATTTTTCTAGTTATTTCTTGACTGAGATTGCCTGCTTTTCCATTAATTTCAAATGTGTTTTCCTTTATTTTATGGAGTATAATTATAATAGCTACTTTATATGTGGTTACTATGATGTTGGCATTTGTTGATTGTTTTTCCCGTTAGAATTGATCACATTTGTCTTGTTTTCTGTGTTTAGCAATTTTGAGTTGTGCCCTAGATAATGTGAATGTTACATTGTACAGGCTCTAAGTCCCTATTATACTGTGCTGGAGATTGTTGATATTTTTGTTTTTGTTTTAGCATGCAATCAACCCAGTTAGGTTCAGAATATAGGTTCACACGCCTCATAGTGAACACAGTTAACTTCTCAAAGCCTGTGTTTTGGTGTGCCCTGTGTGAGACAGTCAGGAGTTACTCTGAGACATGTGCAGTGATTTAAAGGAGTTTAGTTCTCTAAATGGGCTTAGGTCTGCCCATCAAATGTGTAGCTCAGGGTTTAGACTGAAACTTGTGTGAGTTCAAACATGGAACCAGGTCATCCCCTTCTCTGCCTGTTTCCCCTCTATGATTTTCCCTACACTTGCAAGAACCTCTTTTCCTGATTCCTCAGCTCACAAAGATGTGGTTTCTATTAGATTTCAGACACTGAGGTTGCCTCCCTTGTAATATTGTATAAATGGAGTCCACATAGGGGAAAGCTACAAGAGAGATGAGGGGGAAAACTACAAAACAGGAAACTAAATGATGGTGTGTTCTAAGGCTTAGTCCCTGAACACCTCGATTTCCTCTCTACACTCACTCTCTAGGTGAAAGCATTCTGTAATCCCATAGCTTCAAATCTGAAAGCTGACAACTCTTAGACCTCCTCTAACCTCTAGACTAATATACCAGTTGCCTACTCAACATCTACACTTGTATATCTAATAAACTCTACTTGTCAAAAACCAAGGCCCTCCTCCACCGATACTGGATTACTTTTGACTGCGTATAACAAAACACACACACACACACACAAGAAAACATGCATTAAAAAAAAAAGTCCACGGATACAGAGGTAGACAGTCCTGAACATGTATGGCATACTCATTAGGCACCCATACTCATTAGGCACCCATACTCATTAGGCACCCAGGCCCCTTATCTCTTGATGCTTTTCCAACTTTAGTATGCTTGCTCTTTATGTTAGTGGAGGGAGAAATGTAATGGGAAAAAAATTTTTTTTAAAAAGAAATTACCAAGTTTTTATTAAATTCAAGTTAGTTAACATATAGTGTAATATTGGTTTCAGGAATAGAATTTAGTGATTCATCATTTACATATAATACCCAGTACTTATCACAAGTGTCCTCCTGAATGCCCATCACCCATTTAGCAGACCCCCATCCACCTCCCCTCCAGCAACCCTCAGTTTGTTCCCTATAGTTAAAAGTCTATTATGGTTTGCCTCTCTCTCTGTTTTTATCTTACTTTATTTTTCCTTCCCTTGCCCTGTGTTCATCAGTTTTGCTTCTTAAATTCCACATAGGAGTGAAATCATAGGGTATTTGTCTTTCTCTGATGGTCTTATTTTGCTTAGCATAATACACTCTAGTTCCATCCACGTTGTTGCAAATGGCAAGATTTCACTCTTTTTGATGGCTAATATTCCATTGTATATATATATAGCACGTCTTCTTTATCCATTCACCTGTCGATGGACATGGGCTCCTTCCATAGTTTGGCTATTGTGGACGTTGCTCCTATAAACATCGGGGTGCATGTACCCCCTTGATTCACTATGTTTGTATCCTTTGGATAAATATCCAGTAGTGCAATTGCTGGATCATAGGGTAGCCCTATTTTTAACGTCTTGAGGAACCTCCATACTATTTTCCAGAGTGTCTGCACCAGTTTGCAGTCCCACCAACAGTATAAGAGGGTTCCCATTTCTTCACATCCTTTCCAACATCTGTCATTTCCTGACTTGTTAATTTTAGTCATTCTTACTGGTATGAGGTGGTATCTCATTGTGGTTTTGATTTGTATTTCCCTGATGATGAGTGATGTTGACCATCTTTTCATGTGTCTGTTGGCCATTTGTCTTCTTTGGAGAAATGTCTGCATCTTCTGCCCATTTCTTGATTGGATCATTTGTTCTCTGGGTGTTTGTTGAGTTTGATAAGTTCTTTATAGATTTTGGAAACTAGCCCTTTATCTGATATGTCATTTGCAAATATCTTCTCCCATCCTATTGGTTGTCTTTTGGTTTTGTTGACTGTTTCCTTTGCTGTGCAGAAGCTTTTTATCTTGATGAAGTCCCATAGTTCATTTTTGCCCTTGCTTCCCTTGCCTTTGGTGATATTTCTAGGAGAAGTTTCTGTGGCTGAGGTCGAAGAGGTTGCTGCCTGTGTTCTCCTCAAGGATTCTGATGGATTCCTGTCTCACATTTAGGTCTTTCATCCCTTTTGAGTCGTCTTTTTTTGTGTGCGGTGTAAGGAAATGGTCCAGTTTCATTCTTCTGCAGGTGGCTGCCCAATTTTCCCAACACCATTTGTTGAAGAGACTGTCTTTTTTCCATTGGACATTCTTCCCTGCTTTGTCGAACATGAGTTGACCGTAGAGTTGAGGGTCCATTTCTGGGCTCTCTATTCTGTTCCATTGATCTATGTGTCTGTTTTTGTGCCAGTACCATACTGTCTTGATGATTACAGCTTTGTAATAGAGCTTGAAGTCTAGAATTGTGATGCCTCCAGGTTTGGTTTTCTTCTTCAACATTCCTTTGGCTATTTGGGGTCTTTTCTGGTTCCATACAAATCTTAGGATTGTTTGTTCCAGCTCTGTGAAAAATGTTAATGATATTTTGATAGGGATTGCATTGAATATGTAGATTGCTTTGGGTAGTGTGACATTTTAACTGTATTTGTTCTTCCAATCCATGCACCATGGAATGTTTTTCCATTTCTTTGTTGTCTTCCTCAATTTCCTTCATATGTGTTCTATAGTTTTCAGAGTACAGATCCTTTACCTCTTTGGTTAGGTTTACTCCAAGGTATCTTATAGTTTTTGGTGTAATTATAAATGGGATCGATTCCTTGATTTCTCTTACTTCTGTCTCATTCTTAGTATATGGAAATGCAACCGACTTCTGTGCATTGACTTTATATCCTGCAACTTGGGCTGAATTCCTTTATCATTTCCAGCAATTTTTGGGTAACCTTCCCCATTTCAATAAATGTCAGTTCCATCCTTCCAGGTGCTCAGGCCAAAGTATCTTGGAGTCATCCATGATTCTTTTTCTCTCCTATTCCACATCCAACCTACCATCAAATGTTACTGATTGTACTTTTCAAATACATCCCAATATGCCTGACTGACTCCATCATCGTGCAGGCTATTGTTGCCTTTCATGGACTTCTGAAATAATAGTCTCCTAAGTGGTCTTTCTGGATCTGCCATTCCTGTATGCAGAATTCCCAGATTACCTTCCAGCTTACTCTGAATAAAATCCAAGGAACTTACTAATAAAAAGCTATACATCATTTGGTCCTGGCTAACCCTCTGATTAAATTAACTATTCTCTTCCCCTCATTCCATAAATATACCAAGCATGTACCAATTTCAGGGTCTTTATTACCTATTGATCTTTCTATCTTGAATGCTCTTCTCCTAGATGTCCCCATAGCTTTCTTCTTAACTTCCTTCATGTCTTTGATCAAATACCATATTATCAAAGAGACCTTCCCTAACAGCCTATCTATCTAAAATAGGATTCCTTCTAGTAAATCTCTCTCTTTATACAACTTTCTTCTTAATACTCAGCAGCATTGGACATTTTATCTGATTTTCTATGTGTATGTATAGATTTCGTACACATATACATTCTCTCCCTCTCTTTCTATATATAAGTATGTAAAAATGTATAAACATTTAGGTACATATAGGAATTTGATTATTGAAGGGCTGCTCACTAGAATTAGAGTAGGGACTTCATCCTTACTGATAAGGAAGACAGCAGTGAGCAAAAGAGATAATCAAGACAGATTTCTCTGAGAAGAAGGTATTTGAGCTAACGATGAATGAAGATGAGCCAGCTTTACTATAGCCTAGAAGGAAAGCACTCCAGGCAAAGGGAACAGCTATTCTGCAAGGCCCTACAGTGGAAATAAGCTTGTCATGTTAGGGCATTTGTCCTGCATTTGAAGACAAAAAGAAGCCCAGTAAGGGTAGAATTTAGAAATTATGTAGAGTGGAATAAGATAAGGTAGGAGAGATAGGCAGAGCCAGATCATGCAAAGTTTTGCCTGTCCCAGATGCAGTAGAAAAAGGGTTGCAGGCCTCTCTGGCACCTCAGCCATTCTCCACCCTTTGGGAAACTCTAAGGCTACAATAGCCAAAGGCTATCTAGCAACATGCAGCTATTTAAATTTAATTAACTAAAAGTAAATTTTAAAATTCAGTTTCTCAATCACATGAGTTCCATTCCAAGTGTTTTAACAGTCACACGTGGCTAATGACTACCTATTGGGCAGCACAGCACAGATAGAAAACATTCCATCATCACAGAAGTTATATAAAACAGTGCTGCTTTAGGAAATCCAGTCCAATGAGAAATAATGCCAAGTTTGCTTACCGTCTCCTCTGTGATTTTCTCTTACCCCTAGAATCAGTGTTTTTCTATTTCAGTGGAAATATATGCGATGCCTAGAAAATTAGCATGGGGCCTATTCCCTATGCAAATATTCTCACCAGTGATTTTTACCTATGACAGAAAAGATGAGAAAGACTGGTAAATCACAAGCATTCTTAACCTCATTATAAATACATTGCAAATGTAAAAATGCAAAGTGTGGAAGTCATAAATGTGAAAGCAGCTTTCAATTTGTTTTAATAGGTATTTTCTATGTCTTATTGTAACCTAGGGATCTTGCTGCAAGAAACTGCCTGGTAGGTGAAAATAACATTCTGAAAATCAGTGACTTTGGAATGTCTCGTCAAGAGGATGGTGGAGTGTATTCATCTTCTGGCTTAAAGCAGATTCCCATTAAATGGACAGCACCAGAAGCTCTTAATTATGGTAAGAACAGACTGTTTTGCTTTTTGGTGGTAAAAATATACTCCATCAGCACAAAACATACACAAGCAAAATTATAGGAGTAAAGCAGAGCCCAAGTTAGAATAATTTGAAAATCAACGCAATAATGTATAAGTATTCATATTTTGTATTTACACATGAGCAGAAACTTAATTCATTAAACTTATTGGTCAGATTTCTATATGTAAGATTGCTAGATTTAAAAGATGGATATACTTATAAGCACTTTGGAGAAGGTTTTTTCTAATCAAAAAAAAAAAAAAGATTCTTTTTAAAGTGTAGCTGTGGCTCTGGACCATTGCTTTTGAATGTCTTATAAATGGTACAATAACCTCATCTAATATTAGGTTTTAAAATATTGTCAAGTGTATAGTTTCTCACTCTAAAAGTTAACATGGTTTCTTAGCATTTTGGTCTCTAGAACTTGTATAAGTCTTGTGGAGAGAGATGGAAGTTACATTTTTAAAACAGCAGGGATTTTGTGTGTGTGTGTCATTGTAATTGGAAATAAATATAGGTTGCATTATCTTGGTTGGGATAAAATGGGCTGTAACAAGATGGGTAATGGCTCAAGAATTGAGATTGTGCTTTAAGTGAAATTATGAATTACATTTTCATTAAGGGAAGCAGCATATGAGCCATGGGTTGGTGAATGGGTATAGTATGTTTTAAATTGAAATATCATAAAATGATTCTTTACTGATTTAAAATGAAAAATTCATCATGAAAAAAGGGCATTTATAAATGCCTTAATTTAATGCCTAAATTAAAGACAAAGCTTTTAAGTGAGGTACAATTCATATAACTGGAAATTAACCATTTTGAAGTGAATAATTCAGTGGTATTTAGTACAGTTCACAGGATTGTACAACCACTACTTCTCTCTAGTTCCAACATTTTCATCACTCCAAAATAAGAACCTTTACCCATTTACTCCCCATTCCTCCTTTCCCCCTTTCCCCCCAGCCACTTGCAACCACATGTCTACGTTCTGTTGCTATGGATTTACCTATACTGCATATTTCATATAAATGGAATCATACTATACATTTCTTAAATGTTTTTGAGGTTCATCCATGTTGTAGCATGTATAATTAACTTAATTCCTTTTTACGGCTGAATAATATCCCATTGTATATATTTACAATTTGTTTATATGTATATTTGGGCAGTTTTCACCTTTCAGCTATTGTGAATAGTACTATGAACATTTGTGTATAAGGATTTATTTAAGTACCTATTTTTAGTTAAATTCTAGGTATACACTAAGAGTCATATGGTAATTCTGTGTTTAACTTGTCAAGGAACCACCAAGTGTTTTCCAGATAAGGCTTTGGAATGTGATTGGTTTGGAAGTTAGTTGGGGCTGATTCAGACACCAGGATCTGTTCTCTATACTAATGATACTATGGACTATATGTTGAATGTAACTGTCATTATGAGAAATAGACTAAGTTATTCTAGTTCCCAATAATGACATTTTTAAGCTTAAGACTCCATAGATACTAATCCTCACCCTAATTTGTCTTCCCATATGCTGGCAAGAGAAGTTTTTATAAGCTTTCTAATGATCACAGAGTAATTCCACTATTCCTCAGAATCTAGAGAAAATGGCAGCCCTGATATTTTCTACAGTGATACTACTCTAAGGTTATATTCCTAAGATGAACAATCACAGGATAAAAGATTGTAACCTATTATTTATGCAGAGGTTTTCTTTAAATGACAAAACATTGTTAACCCCTTCTTGTACATTCTTACAGCATTCCCATAAGAGGGCTGGAACTGGACTTGGGAGACCCTGAAATGCAGCTCTCTAGAATTTGTTTTAACCCTATTGACCAGATCCTTGTTGTTGCCTTTGAAAGTCCTCTTACTATTATGCCAAGTGAAATTCTGCCTTTCAATCAAAATGTATTTTAGTTGAATTTCAAGCTGACTGAAGTATTTGCAAATCAAAATTCTATTTCCAGACACCTCTTAGAGCTAGACTTACAGCATTTTAAGTAATAGAGATATGAAGATCTTTGGTTGGCAATGAGGGACATTTTTTTTTTTTTTTTGCAGTCTTTACAATGCAGAACAATTTACATGACAAAAGGGAAGAGATTTTTAACAGTAGATGAGGACGAAGTCTGGAATAATTATCCAACCCAATGAGGGAGTTCCTTAGAGTTTAACAAAAGTGGAAAATATATTCATTGAACAACCTATTTCTTGTTATGTTTTTTTTTTAAAGATTTTATTTATTTATTTGAGAGAGAGAATGAGATAGAGAGCATGAGAGGGGGGAGGGTCAGAGAGAGAGGCAGACTCCCTGCTGAGCAGGGAGCCCGACGTGGGACTCGATCCCGGGACCCCAGGATCATGACCTGAGCCGAAGGCAGTCGCTTAACCAACTGAGCCACCCAGGCGCCCTTGTTATATGTTTTTCACGTTTTATGCAAATATCATTTTATGATTGGTGGCAAGATTTTGCCTTATTTCCAAGGGTCTTTTCTTCACTGTTGCCGCAGAGTAGCCCAAGTCTCCCATGACATGTGGGAGCAAAGTTGACAAAAATCCTTCAGTCTATAAGGAACGTCTCAGAAATTTTGCCTTAGGGCCATGGAGTTAAACTTATTTTCACCATTATTTTGTCATTAGTGTAGCTGTCATTTAATTTTTTTTTTTTAAAGATTTTATTTATTTGACAGCGAGCTTCCCGCTGAACAGGGAGCCCAATGCGGGGCTTGATCCCAGGACCCCGGGATCATGACCTGAGCCTACAATGAGCCTACAATGACATGTAAGCTCCTCTCCTACCCAACTCCAGCCACACAACACATAATTGCATATATATCCCCTCCCCCACTTTTTAAACAGTCTTTTCAGCATATATTGCTACTGTGCACAATATAGCTGTTACCAGAGGACTGTGTTTGTAAAGGGCAAATAGGCTACTCCTCATCAACTAAGAAATAATCTAAAAAAGAAAATTAAAAGACATTTTTTCATTTGTCACCTAAGAATTTTGGGCTGATGCATCCTAATTAGCCTGACATGACTAAGTACTCTGAAATGAGGAGGCAGGATTTATAGTGAAAAGAGTCCTGGATCAATCATCAGGGCCAGATTTCCCACCAGTTATGTCATTAGTTGCATGACCTTGGCAAGTCATCTACTTCTCTACACCTATGTTTTCTAATTTTCAATTGAGAAGATAGTGCCTTTTCCATATAAGGGTATTGTTAAGAGCAAATGAGATGGAGAAGTAGCAAAATTCCATACAAGTGTAAGTTGCTCTTAGCCCATTAAAATTATCCAGCAAGGTTCTGGTTCAACATGATGATGTAGGAAGATCCCAAACTCATACCTCCTCTCATAGACACACCAAGTCTATGGAACAAGTTTCTCAAAAAAACCCTAAAAACTAGCTAAGCAAGTGCTACATATTAGTCAAACAAGAAAAGAAAAAAACCCTATCACAGCAGGTAAGAGAGGCTAAGACACAATCTCACCATAGACTCTACCCCCAGCACAAAGAACCATCATGAGGAGGGAACTAAAAACCCAGAGCTTCCCCCTGAAGAGCAAAGGGTTTAAGTCCCCCACTTCAGGCATCCCAGCATTTAAGACCTGCACCTAAGAGGTGAGCTCCCAAAACATCTACCTTTGAAAACCAACAAGGCTCACATTCATATAACCCACAAGACTACAGGGAACGTAAAAACAATTCTTAAAAGGCCCCATGCTTGGAATCACCTGCCCTAGGGCCCAGAGCAGAAGCAGCCAATGGACAGGCTATGTGAAAGAAGCTCCTTTGCTAGTCTTAAAACATCAGCCTGAGAGGCATCTTATTTAATACACATCTACAGGTCTGCTGGGGATACTTTCCAGGGATGGAGCTGGCAGATGCCATTTTCACATTCTCCTCCTGCTGCACCCCAGAGCACCATTATCTCTCAGAGGGGAGCTTTTACACATATCTAGTAGCCTAGTTTTTGCAGCTACCACAGGTTCTGGATCATCAGGTTCTGGATGCCAGGGGGCTTGCAGTCCTGTGTACCATATGACTGTAACAGAGACACAGTTCTTGACAGGCTACCACCCCAGTGCCCTGACAGACAGCAACGTACCCAGAGTCTTTACTAGCTTGTCCAGGCCTGCGGGCAGACTTCTTGTATGACACCCAACTACAGGCCTGTGGAGGTTCTGTCCAGGAACAAAGGCCAGTGGATACCATTTCTGTACTCTCCCCCTACTTCACTTGCCATAATCTCCCAGAAAGGAGTTAATATCCTTGTCAGGTGCTTAGGTTTTAGCAGATTCTACCCGGGGACACCTCTATATCACCTGGCTCTGGTGGTCAGCAGGGCTTACTTTCACAGATCCCACAGGACCGTAACCAATGGAGAAAAAGTTCTTAAACAGCTATACTCCTAGGACACAGTAAGAGACAGTAGGCCCAAGAGCTCTTTCTGTGAAAGAGGCCTATTGGCTTATCATCATAGCTACAGCCAGAGGTGCAGGCTTCTAATTGAACACACATCTAAGACCTGACTATAATCCTTTCCAGAGACATTAGAGGGCAGGCATAATCTTCATACTCTGTCCCTGCTGTATTCCAGAGCACCAGTATCTCTCAGAAGAGAGCTCTTAAACCCACCTGTTGTCCCAGTTTTAGGGGCTGCCATCCAGTGAATGCCCCCTTGATCTGGCTCTGGTGATCAAGGCACACTCACATTCCTGAGTCCCAGAGGACTGTAACAATCAGAGAGTTCTTGGCAAGCCAGAATTCCCCAAGACACTGCACCAACAGCCAACTATGAAAGAAGCCTATTTGCTTGTTGGGAGCTTCAGACTGAGGGGAAGTCTTCAGGTTTGGCACACATCTAGAGGCTGAGGTAATGTAGATTGGTAGCCACCATCTTTGCACTCTCCCTCTGCCTCATTACAGCTCCCTGGTATCTCCCAGAAAGGAGCTTATGCACTCATCTAGG